ATCAATGATGTTGGTCCATTATAATTTGAATCTCCTTTTCATCTCAGACATAAGTTACAGGTTATTAAATCAACTATAACTTGAAGATCCATGGCAGATAGACGAGCTCTTTCTCACTAAACTTGACTGAACTAATAGAGTTTTAACGTGATTGGCCTTAGCTTGCTTAGCCGAATCCCTTCTACTTACTATAAAAATGTAACAGAGGCAGCCCATCTCTAAAATTTAGCTATTGCAGCAGGATACAGTATCAAAATACCTTGTGAATAGAAGCCATAGATTTCCCACAGATTATATTTTTCAACATAACTTACAAAGCCAGTCTTTCCTCAGCCATAAGAACCTCTGCACCAAGGTCAGCAAATAAAGATGAGAATGATCTGAAATGGAATTTTCTAATAACACACTTATAAACATTATTGACCTTCTGGGCATATTGTGAGGAACAGAAGAAGCTTTTGGGTGATAACCAGATTTTAAGAGTTGGTTTATACTTATCATCAATAGCTTAAGCATTGTACTCCGGAGCACATCGTCCCCCTGATGAAATTTGTGGATGAATACTCCAGTTTCACAATTAAATCAGTCTGAAAAAGTTTTAGCATCATTGGCATGTAGAAAATATCTCCCTATACCCATTTTTAAAGCGTTACATAGATTAGATTTCATTTCTCTCCATATTTTTCTGTCTTCCCAACATAGAGCTTAATACAGAGAAAACTAGAGAAAATATTTGATGTAAAGAAATCACCAGTTCTAATTTTTCTCCCTGAAAATACATCTGTAAAATGCGGATGCCTTATATTTTTAGTTCTGGAATGATTATAGTCTCTTTTTTTCTGTCTTTCCCTGTCACAACATCTCTAGTCAAATGAAAATTTATTTGAATAATCTGAACTGAAAACTTTTTTCCTCCTGGAAGCTTGTCTAGTTTTCTTCTTCAAGGGGTCATTTTGGGTAGCAAAATATTCACCGTGGAAGGAAGTATACAGATATGTAGAATCTGGGCATATTAAAGGGAAGATATAAATAATTTAAGAAATTATGAGGGATTTAAGACTTTATTAGAAAAACATGAAATGCAGATTAGGGGTTCAAGTAGTCTCCAGACCCAGAGTAGAGGAATATTTAAAAGGACATCTGGACAAACCGATTTCAAATTAATTCAGTACACATTTCTCCAAAGAAGATATGCAAGTGACTGATAAGTACATAAAATGATGTTAAACATCATTATTCATTAGAGAAAAACAAATCAAAAGCAGAATGAGATAACACTTCACACCCAGTGAGATGGCTACAATTAAAATACCAGGAAATAACAAGAGTTGATGAGTATGTGGAGAAATCCGAACACCTGTACATTGCTGGTGGTAATGTAAAATGGTGCAGTATTGTGAAAAATAGTAGTTTCCTCAAAAAATTAAACATAAACTTATCATATAATCTAGAAATTCCATTTATAAATATATATCAAAAAAATTGAAAACAGGGACTCAAACGGATACTTCTACGACAATATTTATTGCAGCATTATTCACAGTAGCCAAAAGATGAGATGGAAACAACCCAAACATCTATCAACAGATGAACAGGTAAATAAAATGCGATGTACCCATACATAAAGCAGAATATTATTCAGTCTTAAATAAGTTTTGATACATGTTACAACATGGATAAACCATAACCATCCTAAGTGAAATAAGCTAGACATAAAAAGACATTGTATGATTCCACTTGTATGAATTATCTAGAATAGGCAAATTCATAGAGGCAAAAAACAGACTAGAAGTTACCAGGGGCTGGGAGGAGAGTGGAATGGGGAGTAATTAATTAATGAATACAGAGTTTCTGTTTTGTATAATGAAAAAATATTTGAAATAAATAGTGGTGATAATTGCACAACATTGCAAATATAATCAATGCCACTGAATTATACACTTTAAGGTTAAAATGGCAATTTATATGATATCTACACATGTATATATTAACATAATAAAAATAATTCAGTAAATTTATTTCACTTCATTACATTTAACGTGAAAGTTTAAAAAGGGAAAGGTTGAGATCAGAAATTATTTCTAGGTTATATATTGAAATATTCACCCCATGTATCCATGTGTCCACACACACATACACATATAATTACACATATTCATACTAATATAAAGTCTCTAAGATTTTAAAGATTATTTATTTTGTTTTTATAAATTATAAAGAATGGTTCATTCAACAAGTTCACTTGAGGGAAAGAATCAAGAATAGATTTTTTTTAAATTTCATATGGTCCTCCTCAAAGATCTATGATTGCAAATCAGTGAGTATATGCCCTAAATCTATGGTAATTTACTTAAGCCCTTGTGAAAGAACTTCATTGTCTGATATATTATTGTTATTTGCTTATAGAGTAATCCACAATTTAGTTCTTCATCTCATCTTCACATTTATGTTTGTATCTGATTTTCTGTCTTTAACCCTTTGCATTATATCATAATTTATACATATGTCATATTCGACGGTATTTTTTGGACTGCTGATTTAGAACTGGCTCTACTTTGGTGAAAGTCACCCGAGAAAAACCCTGATTTATCCTGCCTTCTCTCTGGATGGAAATCCAAAATCTCATTTTTTCTCTGAGCTTCTTTTGGCATCATCAGCTTGAGTTTGTTTCTGTTGTTCTGCATCCCTAAATTTTCAGCATATTCTGGCATGTGCCTTGCTTTTACTATGACTCTTCAGGATTAGGCAAAATAAAATGCATACTAAACATGATTTCAATTAATGACTTTTTAATGAAAACACTAACGTTTAGTTTTAAAAATCCCATTCCTATAGCCTGGAATATTTCCTTCAGTTATTTTATTAAATCACAACTGCATCATTCACACTCATTCTCAAAGTCCCACAGTTTTTAAAAAATTGTTATCATTCTTCTTATTTATAGATTTAATACATAACCAATAATTGCTTTTCCATTGGTACTACTATTATTCAAATAACATAAGTCAGAAGTATAGAGTTATCTTTGCTCCCTCCCAATAGTTTCTTCCCTCTACTTTTCTAAACAACCTGCCAATATTAATACATTCAGATCCTAAAAATGTCTCATATCTATCCATTACCTTCCATCGTTACTTTCCTAAATTGCATTGCTATCATCTTTTTCTCAACCCACTCTGATAACCTCTTCTTGGTTTTTCTGCTCTTTCCCTGTCTCCTTCAAATTCATTTTACAAACAATACTGAAATGATTTAAAAACCGACTCTTTGGGTAGATACTTATTCCCTTATTGTGGCCAACGGGGTGCTTTGAGATCTGGCCACCTCTTCCTTCTTCAGCCTCTTCTCAAAGCAATCACCCTCTTCCAGCAGCCACCTTCCCTGCACACTTTCGTTATCCATCCCACCTGAGGCTTCCACACACATTCCTTTATCCTTAGAATACTCTTGCCCCGATTTCGCTAGTTAATTTCTAATCCATCTTCAGATCTCAACTGAAGGGACACTTCCTCAGAGAATCTACCTCTTATTTCAAGCCATAATGTGACCTCTTTTAGACTGACAGTCTCAAAGCAGTTCCTTCTCTGTTTTATGATTAATCACAGGATTTATTTTAAATTGAATTTATTTGATTGTTTGACTTGCATTTATTTGAAACTTCAAGAGGAAAACATTTTGGTTTGTTTGCTGCTATGTCATTTTTGCTTAACAAAGTGCTAGTACTTGGTCCTTGTCTTTCAGAAAAAAAAAAAAAGAGAGAGAGAGAAACAAAGTGCTTATCCCATAGTAGTACCTTCAAAAAAATCAGCCAAAGGAATGACTGAACAGTAGTTCTACTTCCACAAAAGTAAACACTTAAGGAATGATTTAAAGTCCTTATTCTCCTCCCAGAACACAACTATTTTAGCATAGAATATGCAAAAGTATAAAAATATGTAAATAAACTTGATATCAGGAAGGACTTTGTCGGTATGGCACTGATATCTCAACAGATAAAGCAATAATTTGTATATGAGCTTTTAAATTATTTATACATAAAGACAAACAGAAAATTAGGAAAACATTTACAATATACATAAAATGCTAGAAATAATATATAAGGAACTCCTACAAATCAATCAGAAAAGAATAAAAGTTGGCAAAAAATATGATCAGACAAGTCTAAAATGAGACTGTCAAATGGCTGCAAAAAACTAAAATTTTGTACTTCATAAAAATGAAAAATGAATTAAGTATACAAAAACTACAATATTAGATTAAATTTCATCTACTAAACATATAAGAAGTGCCTCTATTCAGCATTTAGAGAAAACACAGGATAAAAGAAAACAACACATGAAATGAACTAATGGAAAATTTATGAATTCAGGGAGACTACTGCAAACTTTTATAAATGGCATTGTATCATTTCAGAAAATTTTAAAAAGTTCCTTCAAAAAGAGTGGTTTTGGGATATAGTACAGTTCCACTGCCCTTAACCCACATTCTAGAATTCCTGTTTATATTGCCACAAAATGGATCTGAAATTGCACGTGTTTCCTTATGCAGGCTGTGGTAGCACTAGGCTGCCCACTTAATTTGGCCTCTTCTGAAATGGTGCTTTCACTTCTTATAGACATTGGATCAAAATTGCCCTATCTTTCCTGCTTAATAGGGTATGTAGCTATGTTCTTTATCTCCAAATTCAATTGCACTCCACTTTCCTAGCATCTCTTGGTACATAGGTAGATGGATAGATAAATAGAAAGATAGATCTCTCTCCACCTATATCTTTATATCTATATGTTAATGTACGAATAGATCTATATTTATCTGTTTATCAACCAATCAAATGATAGATATATTCATTGCATTTCTGCTCAACTTAGCTTGTAGCTTTATGTAATAATTAACGTCTGTCTAACACAGATAATAGAGATGTTGGGTATAAAGCCGATATCTCTTACAATTAGGCAAAAGTTTCAGAAATTCTGAAGATCTCGAAATTTTGAAATAATAGCTCAAGATCTAGTGTGCCCAGAACATAGATGAATGATACTTTTTTGAATCTGCTTGATCTTGATGCTGTATATAATGGGGTTCATGAGTGGGGGAAAGAGAAAGTAAACATAGCTCATTGTAATATGAACCACATGTGGTGTATGGTTTCCAAACCTATGGATGAAAGTCAGGCCGATCACAGTGATGTAAAATACCAGGACACAGCTAACATGGGAAACACAAGTGTTGAGAGCTTTAGCTTGCTCCTCTCTGGAGGCAATGCCCATAACTGTCTTAAGGATTAAGATATAAGAAAAGACAATGATCAGAGCATCTAGGAAGAAAGTCACGGCAACCAGAATAACTGGGTATAAGCGATTAAATGTAATATCGGCACAGGCGAGTTTCATGACATCTTGGTGGAGGCAAAAGGCATGGGAAAGAGCATGGGAACGGCAATATGGGAACCAATAGAGTGGCAGGATTGGGGGCACAAGGGATAAAAAGCCCCTCAATAGAACCCCCAGCCCTATCTTCATCATCCTGGAATTGGTAAGGATAGAGTTATACCTCAGAGGGGTACGGATGGCAATAAAACGATCATAAGCCATTGCAAGCAAGATACCCGACTCCACAATGGAAAGAGAGTGGATAATGTAGGCCTGCAAGAAGCAGGCCCCGTGGCTCACCTCCCTGTGATTCACCCATAAGACACCCATCACAGTAGGCATCGTGGTCAATGTCACTGTGAGGTCTGTGCCTGCCAGCATGGCAAGGAAATAATACATGGGTTCATGAAGAATGTGGTCGCACTTGATAAGGTAGAGGAGTGTGCCATTGCCAAGCATCACAGAGACGTAGGCAGCAAAGAAGGGGATGGCGATCCAGTGATGAGCGGCCTCCAGACCTGGGAAGCCAGTCAGCAAAAAGGGATCCCCACTAATATTGGACCACATAGTGTGTCTCCAGGGAAAGAGCAGATTTATAAAAACTATTACCCCCCAAACTCAACTTATTCAGTTTGCACTACTTCCTTGTGGGACTTTATCACAATACTCATATTTAGAGATAATTAATTAATATATGCATGGTTATGGAACTATCATCTTTTAAAAAAGCAGTAGAGATTTATAGACTATTCTAGGAATGAGGAATAAAGATATTTTCCTAAACTATAAATAGTATTAGGTTAATAGTTAAAATTTTTCAATAAAAAAAACACATTTTAAAAAAAAATAACATCATGCCCCATTTTGGGTTGTATGCTATACAATGTTTGAAGCAATAATGATAATAAAAAAGATGGCAAATATATACAATGAAATAATGCTTTTGCTTAGCTAAACTGCTGTTTTGTTTGGTTGCAGATGTTTTTTCATACATTTAAACTTGATTTTAACTTCGTATTTCACAAGCATAATACAAATAACATGTTGGTTAGAAAGCTTTGTTTAGTTTTGAAATTCAATGTCAATGTTTAACAGAATTCTAACAAAAGCCATGTAACCTCTATGTAGAAAAATAGATAAAGGTAGATGATGCCGCATTTAGCCTAAAAATATTCCCCATGTTCCTAAAGTCTATCCACGGATACCACTAAAGAAACTTCAAACCTGTCTTGACACATTTGTTGACATAAAAAATTCGATGCAATAGGTGGGTATTAGCCAAGCCAGGAGAGATATATTCCACTACACAGACCTCAGGAAAATCTTTTTATCTTCTATTGACTGCATCTAACAGAGGAGAGAGGAATCATTCCATTATTTCTGTTCCTGGCACTCACCCACTCACAGTCTTGTTGATAGAATATGAACCTGTTCCTGCCCTATTTAGGAACTTGGTCCAAACACTTCCTTCTCAAAGACTGTTCAGGAAGCCAGGTTAGAGAGTTTATATATGTGGAAATCACCTCCACAGAGAGTCATCTTTCCAGATACTCAGGAGACTGAGTGACCTTTCTTCCCTCTCTGCTCTGCCTTGGAGGAGCAGGGCCACTCAGCCAAAGTCCTCAGAACTTACAGGTATTTCCTAAAGGATGGGTGAGGAAAACTGGAAACTGAAATGCCACAGAGGTGTGGAAATGTCAGAGCTTACCTATGGAATTCCTCAGGATTCTAAACATCAGCATATAGTAAATCAAAACATGTCCTTCTTGTTGACTGTGACAAGAGTCAAAGGGATGCCACTTGCATGCAGGGTGACATGTATCTTTATTTGTCCTAGAGTTTATGAATTCTAATTGCATTTTGTCTTTCCCATTTCTATGGAAAAATCAGTTTTGATCCACAGGAACATCAATGAATCTGTTAAGAGCCATGTGAATAAAGGCTATCATATAATTTTGTCTTAAAATAACTTAGTTTATATTCAGGAGATTGCCCATTTTATGCCAGGTTCAGAGTGTTGAACTTGTCCCTTTTTATTATCAGAACTGAAAAATCTACCGAGTTGTAGAAAGAAATATTTACCACGAATTACATAGCATAATCATCACTACATGAATGCTAGTTAGTATGCTATGGGAAATACATCAAATATATCTCTGAGGTCAGTAAAAATTTCCCAGAAGGATGCTACTTAAGGTATCTCTTTGCTCAGAGACAAGTGCAGGCTTTAGTTTTTCATTCTGTCTTTTTCTTTGTGTCTGTGTCTAATTCTCCAGATCCGAGGTTAACTTTCATACCTGCATTTAGATAAAAGGTGGACAAATCCTTATTGGATTTGCTTGGCCTTGACGCTATAGAAAATAAGATTCACTAAATGAGGAAAGAAGAAGTAGACATAGCTCATGATGTGGACCACCTCTGACACATTCTTCCCAAACCTGCGGATGAATGTCAGACCAATCACCATGACTTAGGAGATGAGAACACAACCAATGTGGGAGACACAGGTATTGAGGGCATGGTGGATATAAAGCCCCTCAGAAAAACTCCCACTGCTGACTTTACCACTTGAGTATTGGAAAGAATGAAATCATATTTCAGAGAATTGCGGATGGCAATGAAATGATCATAGGCCATCAGAAAGAGTTTACAGATTCTAAACATAATGGGAGCGAATAAAGTAGGCCTGCAAGAAGCACCCCATGTGGCTAAGTTCCCTGTGATTCACACACAAGACGCTCACAACAGTAAGCACAATGGTCAATATCGCCATGCTGTCTGTGCCTGCCAGGTGGTGAGGAAATAGTACAAGGGTTGATCGAAGACTTTGGTCATCTTTGATGAGACAAAAGAGCACGATGTTGCCAAGAAGCACAGAGAAATAAATAGCAAAGAAGGGGATGGAGATCCAGTGATGAGCTTCCACCAAACCTGCGACGAGTCAGCAAAAAGGAGACTGCACTAACATTGGGCCACAAAGTGTGGCCATGTCCATAGGTGGACAGTGGCTGTCTTGACACTTTGAAACCAGGAAACCAGACGTTTCAATGGTAACATCACAGTAGCCTCATCACAATTTTCCTACTTGGGGAAAATTAATTTGTATGATCAATTTGACTCTGTAGCTATTTTCCTGCAGAAGAAGAGTAGGCATGTGCAGGCTGTATTAGCGACGAAGAATGACGATCTCCCCTAATGAGAGAAAAATATTAAGTTAATGCTTATATTTTTCTCAAATTAAAAGGAAGGTTTTAATTAATTTTCACTAAAATAGTAGGTACCACTGTTGTGTGGATGCTTAAAAATTATTTACAACAGTGATAACAAAAGAAAACAAGATAAATAAATGCAAATGTATAATAATCTTGTTTATCTCTTTTCTTGCTATGATGGTTTACTTTTTGGACATGTTTAATTTTGCTTCTAATTTTATATTTCACAATTATGATAAAGAGAGCTTTTTTAGTTAATAAAATTTTCTTTGTTTCTTTCTGAAATTGAATGTCATTGTTTTACAGAACATAAGATGCATCCCCATCATTTCCAATTAATTACTTTGTCACTGCAACAGTTATCCTTTTCCTTGAGCGTGGCTACCACAGGTGTGGGCTACAGACTAGCCACAGCAAAATGCATGGAGACTTTCAGACATGCAGCTTAGACCTTACTTTCTCTACCTCTTGAATCAAAATTTCTGTTATATCACGATCTCAGGTGATTCAAGTGCACACCAATGTTTGAGAAGCACTGCTCTAACTAAGCATTTCATATCTAACACAGCTATGGAGGTAGAAATCTTCTGATTCTTCTACCTGGGTAATTCCTTCATTAATTTTCTTTGAACATCCTCATATAATTTTGTATTGTTCTTCCACCATTCATTACTTTTCTTTCTGCCTTTTACACTTTCCAAAATCACTGACAATTAAATGTGTAGATTCTTCCTCTATCTCTTCTTATCTCTAAATGCTTTTCCTTCAACATTGCTTCTGCCTAATGAAGTGCTGCAGCTCTGTGACTGGGTAGCATTCTCATGTTGCCACAGCCTGAGGATACCAGTCATCTCCACTATTTCCATTTTCTTGTTTGTCATAATCTGAAAATAAGAATCATATTACTTGCTCTGCTACAGTCTTATTTTACCACAAATTCAGAAGCCTGAAGTCAAATTTCCAGCACTGAGCATTCTCCTTTATAAAATGGCCATAGTATCACAAATGAGTCAGAATTAGGACAAATCACAAAGAATATAACTGTCATGGGAGGAAAAGCTTTTATTCTACATCTGTAAAGGCTTGGTGCTCATTGAGATTGAAATCACCAATGCTACAAGTCTCTGAAAATTAAACACATCGAAATGATACAGAGGACTAAGTTATGACAATTGCACAAACATTCTATCTCTGAAAGCTGTTTCATGCTTAATAATACGGATGGGAGAGCAGTCATTACTGCATGAATGTTAGTGTGCTGTGGGGAACATCAAATTTATCTCTGGGATCAGGGAAAATTTCCCAGATGAAATGTCACGTAGGCTGAGAATTGAAAAATGAGAAGAGATATGAATATGAATATAGTGGTTTTTGGTGCTATAGGTCATTAATTCCATGAATGGAGAGAAATACAAACAAATACATTTTTTAAAATGTTCACTGGTCATGGGACAGGATAAAATATGATGAATTCAAACCAAAATAGTTTTATATTGAATGTGTTCAAAGAATCATAGCATTGCTGAAACAGCAAGACATGAGAGAAAGCTTAACAGAAAAATAAATCGGTTATAGCAGGTTCTGATCACAGAGGGTCTTACAAACCTTATAAAAACTTTTGACATAAGGACAATGAGTGTACAATAAGAAATGGTGTGGTTGCTTCCATTTAGGGTCACTACGGCTATAGCATGAAGAAGACATGGGAAAGGGGGCAGAATATAGAAGGACGTCAGGATATAGCAATGCACATGCGAAATGGTGTTGGCGTGGTCGTGACTAGGTATTGTCAGACAGAAGTGGATGGAAGAGAGAATCTATGACTTAGAAAGAATAGAATGGGTGATTAATTGAAGGTGGTAGGTTAAGGAGAAAGAATCACAAGAGATGACATCTGCATTTCTGAATTTAGCTGAATGGATATTAATTCCACACGTCTATAGGGATCAATGGAAGAGAATAAGTTTATTCCCGAATCAACAGTGAATTATTGATTGACCCTTTTACATTAATTATTTGTTTACATTCTGAACTTGGAGAAAAGAAGATCATTGGTTTTGGCATTCTATGTCTATAAATATTCAGATAGACATGTCTCTTCTTTTGTGAGTCTTGAGTTTAGAGAATAAATATGAGAGCAGGACAAGGGATTTGAGATAGATCAATAATTAGATTTGGCTAGATGTGGTGTCTCATGCCTGTAATCCCAGTACTTTGGGAAATCACAGCTGGAGGATCGCTTAAACCCAGGAGTTCCACACCAGCCTGGGCAACATAGCCAAATCGTGTATATAGAAAATATAAAATAATAATAATAATAGATTAAATTAGAAAATTTATATCCAGGTACTAGAATTAATTATTAAGAGCATGGGTTTTGACCCAGACTAAGCGTGAACCCTAACTCTCCTTACGGGTTCAGTGTCTTTACACTCTCAACACCTTAGCTTCCTCATCTACAAAATGGAGATGATAGTTGTTGAAAGGATTGTTGTGAGGCCTAAATAAATATGCTGAGGAATTATTTTAAACATCAAAGAATTAACTTATCTTAGTGTTTAGCAAAGCCCTGGCAATATTAGGAGATTAAGTAAAGGTAGCTTTATTTTTTACTCTATTCCAGAAGAGTGAAAAGCCTGTGATGGACTGAAAATGAAGAAAAAGAATATAAAATAATGGCAAGAGAGCTTCTGAAAATTCAAACATAGGCTCAAATGAAGATATGAAAGTGAATTAAGATAGACAGTAATAGCTAATAGAAAAGCTAAAGTACTAGAGGTCCTGATTTTGCAGGAGATTGCTATATTGCAAATCATCAAGGGAGACAGCTGGAAGGACTATAATCATTTTCAGAGACTGTATAAATCCCTTAATAATATTTTTATTATCTGTATATTTCATTACATGACAGAATCATAAGAGGTAGTAACCTACCACCTGCCGATTATTCTTCTCCTGAACCATGTGACAGTTCACATTTGTCAAATATTCAGTTGTTCATTTCTCTTAATGTTAATAATATTAATAAAAATGAATATATACTAATAACATAATATACTTTCTCAAATATTTAGAGAAAAACTCTTACAATGTGCATTTTGTTATTCCTAATTGATAGAGATAACGGAGGGTCAGAGATTAAGTGACGTTCAAGGTGACAAAGGTTTAAGTGAAGTAGGCAGGAGTAAAGCTCCTATTTATCAAAGGCCACATTCTTTCTACTACAGTGTGCAATCTCTTTTTAAAAATAAGTTTTCTATATTTCTTAAAGAAAAATAGGTAAAAGTAAAATTATTTTAATAAAGAAAATGAGAAGGATTAAAGTTTTAGGCTTTTTACTGTATTAGAATTTCCTTCACGTCATAGCATAAACAGTGCTGTGTCATCTAGGAAGATTTGGATGGACAAAAAAAGTATGTACTCTAATAGGATTTTTTACATAAAAAATGTGATATGATAATCTGAATTGATTGTTAACTGCAATTACATTTAAATTAATATTCAACAACTAGAACCAAGAACTCAATCTCTACACCAACATGTAGGGATAACTTCACTAATAAATAAACATAGCTCCCTAAAACTTGCATCCTCTGTCTTGGAAATAGTACTATTCCCCAAAGTGATCAGCCCTCTTACACCTCTTCAGGGACACTCAAATATTGTTGTATTCCCATGCACTACATGCACAAGAAACCTGCCGATGACGCTGGCCCAACACTGTTTGAACCTCCTTACAAAGCCCGTCTTTCCTGAGTCGGAAAAGTTCTGCATCAAGGTCAGCAAATCAAGATGGGAAAATCTTAAATGGGATTTTCTGTTAAGAGTCTAAGATGCATAATAGGACTTCTGGGCACATTATAAGGAACAGAGGAAGCCACTGAAGATAACCAAATTTTAGGATTTGTATTTATATTCAATATCAAGTACTTGAGCATTGTAATCTAAGACAAATTTTCCCCTTATATAATTTATAGATTAAGAATCCAGTTTCACAAATAAATCAGTCTGAAAAAAGTGCTAGTACACAGTTATACAGAAACTTCTCCCAACCTCAATTTCTTAATAATTGCAAGGATTAGGATCCATTTCTATGTTGTTTGTCTTCCCAATTGGAGATTTTTCAGAGGATACCAGAGAAAATATTTGTTGCAGACATATAACAACTTTCTATTTTTCTCTCTGAAGATATATAAAGTATTTATGATCTATAAAGTATAGATGTCTCCTATTTTTCCTTTGGAATGATTATATATATTTTTTTCTCTCTTGAGTCCTAACAATTCCTTCCTCCTTTTAGGTAAGGGAAAAGTATATTTAAATCACTGGAAAAGTAAATTTACTCTTCAAAACTTCCTCCCTTACTTCCTTACAAGCTTATAGGAAGCTTGTCGAGTTTTCTGCTGTCAAGTTTTCTGCAAGAGGACATTCGTTGTAGAAAGACGTGAAGAGATATATTTACGTAAGATCTAGGCATCCTGAAATAAATGTATTGAAAATTTTCAAAATTTCCTTTAAAAATCCAATGTAAGTAATTTATGACTTTATTTGGAGAATATGAAATGCAAATTATGGCCCCAAAGAGTTCTCTAATTCTGCTGTCCCCAGCCCCTGGGCCATGGACTAGTACTAGTCAGTGGCTTGTTAGGAACCCGGCCACACAGCAGGATGTGAGTGGTGGGCAACTAGGGAAGCTTCATCTGTATTTACACTGCTCACATCACTGCATAAGCTCCACCTTCTGTCATATCAGCAGTGGCATTAGATTCTCATAGGAGGGCAAACCCTACTGTAAACTGTGCACGGTAGGGATCTAGGTTGCATGCTCCTTATGAGAATCTAAGGCCTGATGATCTTAGATGGAGCTGAGGCAGTAATGCTAGTGCTGGAGAACAGTTGCAAATAGAGGCTATCATTAGCAGAGAGGTTTGCATAACAAATATAATGCACTTGAATCATCCTGAAACCATCCCTCCACTCCCCACTATGGAAAAATTGTCTTTTATGAAAACAGTCCCTAGTGCCTAAAAGGTTGGGGACCGCTGCTCTAACTAATGCTAAAGGGTATTTAAAGAACATCGAGACTTACTTATTTAAAAGTAAATTTAAAATATTAATTTCTCACTGTTATCCTTATTATGAGAGTAGTGATAGGCTTAAAATTAGAATTCATGTCTAAATAAAATAATTATAAAATTATTTTTGTTACTTGTTATAAATATGTGTATTGCTATGAAAATGCATATACAAATATATGCACATGTGCACAGTGATGCAAAATATTTTTAAGAGATTATTTGTTGTACTTGTCCTTAGAATTTTAATAAGGTAAATACTCTCCAGGGGCATTTGAAGGAAGAAATTATGTAAGGACTTTTTCAATTCCATGTGATACTGCTCAAAGACCTGTGTGGGCGTCTTCTAGGATATGCCCCAACCTTACGGTAACATATTTAGCCCTTGTGAAAGAAGCCGTTTTCTAATCTATCATTAGTCTTTACTCAGAGAGGAGTTCGGGCTTTAGTTTTTTTTATTCTGTCTTAGTCTTTTTTTGTGTGTGTGTGATTCCTCAGATAGGAGGTTAACTTCCAAATCTGTGTTTAGAGAAAAGTTGGACAAAGCTATATTGGATTTGCTTGGTCTTGATGCTATAGATGATAGGATTCATTAAAAGAGGGAAGAGGAAGTAGACATAGCTCATGATGATGTGGACCACTCTGGTGCATTCCTCCCGAATCTGTGGATGAATGACAGACCAATCACCGTGACATAGAAGATGAGCACACAACTAACATGGGAGATACAGACATTGAGGGCCTTGGCTCTCTCTTCACCAGAAGCAATGCCCATGACAGTCTTAAGAATTAGGAGATAGGAGAAGAGGATGATTAGACAGTCTAGAAAAATTGTTAGAATTACAAGGTAAAGTCTGTTGAAAGATATATCAGCACAGGCTAATTTCGTGACTTCTTGGTGAAGGCAGAAAGCATGGGAGAGAAAATGAGAGTGGCAATGTGAAAATGAAAAAAGATGCACAATTACAGGCATAATGGATACAAAACCCCTCAGAAGAATTCCCACTCCTAACTTTACCACTTGAATATTGGTGAGAATAGAAGCATACCTCAAAGGATTGTGAATGGCAATGAAACGATCATAGGCCATTGCCAGGAGGTTACCCGATTCTACAATGGAAAGGGAGTGAATAAAGTAGGCCTGCAAGAAGCAGCCCACATGGCTAATTTCCCTCTGATTCAGCCATAAGACCCCCATCACAGTAGGCATAGCGATCAATGTCACCATGATGTCTGTGCCTGCCAGCATGGCAAGAAAATAGTACATGGGTTCATGAAGACTTTGGTCATCCTTGATGAGACAGAGGAGTGTGCCATTGCCAAGAAGGATATAGACGTAGACTGCAAAGAAGGGGATGGAGATCCAGTGATGAGCTTCCTCCAGAGCTGGGAAACCAGTCAGCAAAAAGGGGGCCTTACTAATATTGGGACACATAGTGTGTTCATAAATACAGAGCAGACTTCTTGAAAGTTTGAAAACAGGAACTCAGATTTTTCTTTGTAATATGTCACAGTAACTTTAATCACAATCTTCTACTTAGAAGTAATTTCTAGGTGTTGTAAGTTTGAGTCTGCAACTATTCTTATACAGAAGAGTAGACATACTCAGGTGGAACTAGAGATGAGAAATGATGTTCTTTCCCTAAATAGAGAAAAATATTGTTAGTGGTTAAAATTTTAAGAAATCGAAATAAAAAATTTTCATTAATATTTCTTAATACATCAGGCCCAACTGTTTTGTGTGTGTTTAAAAATATTTGCAACAACACTGGTGAAAAAACAAAGTAAATATATAAATATCAATAATAATCTTGTTTAACCATTTCTTACTGTGATTGCTGACTACCTGGGGATGAGTAATTTGATTTAAATTTCATATTTCACAATTATGATAAAGACATATTTTGAAAATTAAATAAAACTTTTCTCCTTTTTGTATTACAACATTATGCCTATTTATTTCAAAATATTGCAAGGGTACAAATGTTTTAGGTTACTTTGATCACTTTTGCAATACTTGAATCAGGGCTATCAGTGTGCCCATCAACCAAATGGCGTGCATTGTACCCATTAGGTAGGTTTTCACCCATCCCCTTCACCCTTCCCCCCGGATTGATTTCCACTGAGTTTTACTTCCCTTCTGAAATTGAACATCACTGTGTTATGGAGCACAACATGCATTCCCATCACTTCCAGTGAATGGCTTTGTCATTCCAACAGTTATCCCTTTACTTGAGGTTGACTGACAAAGATGTGGGCCACACTAGTCACAGTTAACAAGCATGTAGACTTGACAGACATGCATCCTCAAAGCATATCTCCTTCAACTAGAATCAAAATTTGCATTTTACCATGCTTCCTAGATCATTCAAGTGCACAGCAATGTCTGAGAAGCTCTGCTGTAAACATTTCATGTCTGATTCATTTATGAAGGTAGAAACATTTTGATTCTTCCACCTGGTTGATTCCCTCAGTCCCTTCAGATATCTCATACAATTTTTAAAAATTACTTCTCCCATTCACTGGTTCTCTTTCTGTTTCTTGTACTTTCCAAAATCATTTGACATAATTAAATGCTTGGATTTTTCTTCTGTCTCTTCTTATCTCTAAATACTTTTCCTTTAACACGTGCCTATTGATGAGCCATTGCAGCTCTGTGACTGGTAGCATTCTCATCTTCCCACAGCCTAAGGATGCCAGTCATCTCCACTATTTGCATTTTCTTGGTGTCCACAATCCAGCAGTAAAGAAGCATATTACCTGCTCCATTATAGTCTTATTTCATTACAAAATCAGAAGCCTGAAGTTAAGTCTCCAGCACCGAGAAATCTCCTTTATAAGATTGCCATGGTATCAAAAATGAGTCAGAATCAGAACAAATCCAAAGAATCCTGTATGAGGAAATGCTCTGATGCTACATTACTGACAGCATAGTGTTCATTGAGACTGAAGTCACCAGCACTAGGACTCTTCTAAATTTAAAGCACATTGAAATCATATGGAGAACTAAGTTATGATTATTAGAAAAATCATGCTCTACCTCTGTAAACATTTTAATGCTTTAAAAAATAGATGGTGATACCCATGCTATGGGCAGATAAAAAAAAAAAAAGAAAAACGTGGATGGGAGAAGAAAGTATAAGTGGCAGAGAAAGGCAGTTTAGAAGACATCAAATTAGTGAAACTGGATCTGAGGTGCAATAATAACAAAAAGACATAAGGTCCTGGATCTAGGTTAAAAAAATGCAGAATGATTAAACTAGATTTCCAAACTATAGATAGAGATTTTGTACATTTTTTGTGAATTTCTCCTTGAATGTTTATTAGGTCATAGCGGAAATTCGCAATAGAACATTACAAAAACAAAATGACATGTGTTTGGCTATTTTTATGAGGTGAAAAATGTTTGAGTTTTTCATATCTTTCCATAGCTCCACTAAATCATTAAAAATATGATAGAGAAGATTATAGTAGCTCTACAAATGGGAAAAGGAAGACATGTCTCTGACATTTTAGGAATGAAAAGAAAACACAAAACAAACCTGCCCAGTACTGGGAGGCCCCTCATATTTACCCAGAATTGGGTATGTAGAGCTTCAAGAAACACAGGATCCTATCATCAAACAGAGCCACTCTGGAGCAAGTTTCAGTAGAAACAGAACCATAGCACATGTATCCTCCCTAGCCTATGCTATGTAGCAAAATTCTTTGGCTATTTATTGACGCAGGTTAAGAAAATTCCATCAGAAGTATGAGAACAAGTTTTTTTGGATGGAGGAGGGGCAGCTCTGGCTGTGAAATTGATAGGCAGCTCTCAATTCAGTATACGTATTTTCTCTAGTGATTTCCTACAGTTCTTGGGGGCCCTGACTTATTAATATCTGATGAATTGTCCTTCCAGGGGTGCCTTATACATGAGGGTATAAACAACCTGTAGAAGCACCATTCCTCAATATCGTGCAGGACTAGAGAAATGATTACTACTTGGACTCAGAACAGAATTAGTGAACACATGCCACATGACTGCCACCGTGTTGACAGCTGGGAAGACTATTTAATAAGCAAAATCTATACTGAAGAAACTTTCAGTGTAGACTGAGCATTTCTAATTGGTCTTTATAATTTCCCTACAATTTTATGCTAAGTATTGTCCAGAAATGTCTCAGGAATATCTATAAAGCTGAAAGCATGAACAAAGCATACATCGTAGTCCTGCTCCTGGCCCCATTCTAGATGTTGTACTCAACTGTTTTTCCACATATGATACTTTTCTGGATGTAGATAATTAATGGACTGGTAGTGAGATTCTGCACAAGACACAAATGTTCCATGCAACACACACTCACATTAATCCATTGAAACAAGCCATCATGTTTAGTTGAAGAACATAACGTGACTTCACTTAACAGATATGGGGGAATTAAATGACACAGAGGGAACTTGGATGTATGTGGAAAGCACAGACACTAAATATTCTCTTGATTCAAAAAAAAACTAGTGAATATTAAATCTGTCGATCAGTCCAAATAAACGAGTGTACTGAGAAAAAATGTGATTCCTTCACCCACTCATTATCTGATGTCATACACCCCCTTTCTCCTGAAGGGGTTAGGTGCACATGATCCCTAGAGTGGAGGACCATGGTCTCAGGTTTTTTCCTATTGAGTACCATGGACACACAACATTCCTGATAGAAGTTCTTCTAGTAAACACACACAGACACACACAGGCATCAGTGTTTATCTCAAGGTCTGCTGTTTGATCTAATAAAAAGCTATAAGCCCTTACCCAGAAAAATGAGTGAGAACACACAATGCCATATATATTTCTAAGCATTCACAATCATTCCTGTGTTAATTCAAGGGTCCCAGGTTAAAAACCCCAAATCTAGCACAATTTCTTGAACACGTTTATTATAATGAAGGAAAAAAATAACCTGTGCTATAGTGTTTATCCCTTCAGCTGGGATCCTCACCTATAGGCAGGCCTCTGCAAACATTCTTCTATGCTTTTCTTAACTGAATCTAACATCCGAAGGGAGAGGAGCCATTCTATATTTCTGTTCCTGGCACTTGCCCATTCACACTGTTGGTGCTGGAGTAGGGACCTGTTCCTGCCCTATCAGAGGACTCAGAGCAGGAGACTCCCACACATAGCCTCCCCACAGGGCCTTGTTTGAAAGCTCATGTGTGTGAAAATGACCTCCCTAGGGTTACACCTTTCCAGACTCTCAGGAGACCCTTTGATCTTCCCTCCCTCTCTCCTCTGTGTGAGAGGAATTGGGGCACTCAACCGATGTCCTCAGGACTTTCAAGTGTTTCCCCAAGGATGGCTGAGGAAAACTGGAGACTCAAGTGCCAGCTCACGTAGGGATGCCAGGGCTTGGTTATGTGAGCTTGGGATGCTGAGCATCAGCTTTTAGGAAACCCATGTATGTCCCTCCCTTTGTTTATCTCAAAGATCAAGGGGCTACCAGGTGTCCTTGGTGGTCACATGAGCCTTTGCTGGTCCTAGTGCTTATGAATTCCAATTGCATTTCTGTCTTTCCTGTTTCTTTTGGAAATCAGTTCTGATCAACATGAACCTTAATGGATCTGTTAAAAGCCATGTGAAAGAAGGCCGCTGTATATTTTGTCTTAAATTCACTTTGTTTATATTCGGATCATTGCCCATTTTATGCAATGTTCATAGTTCTTTTCATTAATAGAGTTCAAAAATGTAGTGGGCACTAGAAAGAAAATATTAACTGTCAATTTACATAATGCCGTTATTGTTGTATGAATGTTAGTGTGCTGTGGGGAACACATCAAATAATTCTTTGGGAACAGAGAAAACTTCTCAGAAGAAATGCTACTTAGAATGAGAATTGAATAATGATAAAAGTTAAAATATTGCAGTTTTTGGTGGTGTAGGGTACTAGTTTCGTGCAGAGAAAGAAACAAAACCAAAAACAAACAAATACACAAATTTAAAAAGTGTGCGCTGGTCATGGGACAGGGTGAATTATGATGAATTCACACCACAATAATTTTAAACCAAATCTCTGCTAAAGAATAATGACATCACTGGAATAACCCAATATGGGAGAAACCTTGACTGAAAATAAATCTGTGGTAGCAGGTTCTGTACGGAAAAAGTTTTATAAACCAAGAAAGAAGTTTTAACATATGGGAAATGAGTGTAAAATAAGAAACAAAGTTGGCACCTATGATCAGGTAATTTTTCTTTAAAGGTCACTTTGGCTACTGTATGAGGATCATACTGGAAAGAGGGCTGAATGTGTAAGAAGAACATCAACATGCAGCAATACACATCCAAATGATATTGGTATGGTTGTGACAAGGTATTGTCAGTGGCATTGGATAGAAGCCAAATATTCACTTCATGCTTCTTGTTCTTAAAAATATCAATATTAATAAAAATGCATGTACATGT